AGATGCATGAGACGGATTGTCTAGAGCTGCCCCCAGCCTTGGCAGACTGAGGGTGCCCATGGGGAGCCCTGTCTCTGCTTGGCTCCTTGCAGTCTGTGGGGCACAGGGTTCCCCTGGAGAGAGGCTGTCCCTTGTGGGCTCTGTCACTCCCAGCCTGCCTTGGGGGGAACTTCCTGCTATCTCCTCACCTCCAGGCCTGAGCTGGAGGAAGGCTGGGCAGAGGAGAGCTGCTAGGCAAGACAGATGGCCTGCAGCCTGGGCCAGGGAGGGGCACCACTTTGATCTCTGATGCCTTGGGGACTCATGAGCTGCAGGTGCTACCAGCCCAGCACCCAGGCATGGCGGGGAGGCTGAGGCAGACACATGCTCCAGGAGAGACGTGTCGTGTAAGGTGGGCTGAGAAGGGGTATGGTAAGGGGGCAGGGAGTGGGGCTGAGATGTTCGGCAACAACCTCTCTGATAATGTGACGTTCGATTAGAGATGTGAATGGTGTGAAGGAGGACATTCTGTGGAAAAGCCTAGTTGGCAGAGGGCACTGCACACGCAAACGCTGTGAGGCTGGCCATGCTTAGGGTGCTTGGGGACTGTCACAGGAGGCCAGTGTGGCCAGGTTGGTGGAGGGGTGGGGCTGGTAAGAGCAGAGGTAAGTGAGGCAGTGGAGCCGACGCAGGGCCAAGGCTTCCCTTCAATGTGGGAGGGCTTGGGACAACAAGTGGGTTTTTTTTTTCTTTGGTGGTTGTTTTTGAGACAGGGTCTTGCTCTTTCACCCAGGCTGGAGTGCAGTGGCGCAGTCGTGGCTCACTGTGGCCTCGACCTCCTGAGCTCAAGCGATCCTCCTACCTCAGCTTCCCGAGTAGCTGGAGCTATAGTTGTTCTCCACCATGCCTGGCTAATTTTAAATTTTTTGTGGAGACAGTCTTGCTGTATTGCCCAGGTTGGTCTTGAACTCCTAGGCTCAAGCAATCTGCCCGCTTCAGCCTCCCAAGGGACACCATGGTTTAAGTGACGGTTGTGCCTGAACATGTGACCCACTATGTCCCACATGTGTCCGTGTGCACATGTGTGGACCTACACCACCCAGGGAAGGGGAGCAGGCTGCTGGGGAGGTGTACATGGAACAGAGAGTCAAAGAGCCTTGGAGGTCCTTCCAGCTGAGGGCACAGGCGGGGTCTCCATGGCTCCAGAGAACTTGGAACCACATGAAAGTGAGAGGGAGGCAGACTTCAGCTCAGTATCCTGAAAGCCTGGCAGCCGCAGGTGCTGGAATTGACTACTGTGTAGAGTGGTGAGCTGCCTGTTGCAGGAGGCAGGCCAGCAGAAGCCAGAGGCCCCAGTCAAGGATACCGTAGGGGGTAATCCTGCCCTCCACAGCTAAGAGTCTATGGTTAAAGGCCCCCTTCCAGGAGACATGGGTGGGTTTGAACAGAAATCCGCTTTTGAGACTGGACAGCAGTCATTGTGGAGGTCTTGGAGGACTGGGCAGGGCTTTGGGCCCCTCTTTGAATGTACTCTGCAGATGCCCACTGTCTGCTGGTGCCCGGGAGGCCTGGCTGTGCCTGCTGACTGGGGTGGCAGGCCTCTCTGCAGGCTCTGCTCCAGAGGCAGCCCCTGCAGGGACCCAATGAGGCCTGGGTTGGTGGTGGCAGAGCTTTGTCAACCTTCTGCCTTTTATGAAGATTCTGGGGCAGGGGCCTGAGTGGGTGGGACAGGGTGGGAAGGGCTAAGATCAACGAGGGGTTGGCATTAGTGGGCCTGGGCTGCAATCAGCTGCTGGCAGCTGAGGACAGCAACTTCTCTCTAGTCCCCAGGTCCTCACCCCGAGTGGCGGGTAATAATTCCTACTGGGAAGGGCTGCTATAGGGGTGGCATGAAGGGAGATGACGGTGGAAAGCACTATCACAGGTGGGTCCCTGGAGCAGACCTGAGTGAGGGTTGCAGGCACTCTAGCTGAGAGGGGACCTCGAGGTGCACTGGTACAGGAGGGGAGGTGAGAGGGAGGGATGGGGGGCTGGTGCCAGTGCCTTCGTGAGCGGGAGACCTCGGTGGGCAGCCAGGAGATGGCAGAAGCAGATCCTCAATACAGGGCAGGAGCTGACCTGTTCTCTGCCACATCCCAGCACCTGGCACACTGTGGGCACTGAACTGGACATTGGAAGGTCTCTGCAGGCGTGGAGGGAAGTAGAAGGGCTGCAGGGGAGGCCCCCCCCCAAATCAGGTCTGCCATCCTTCCAGAGAAGCTGGGAGGTTGGATTTCTGGGCTGGGGATCATAGGAGGCTGCCACGACAGAGCCAGAGGGTCTCAGGTGATTCCATCCAATCCTTATTTCTCTGTGGAGGCAGCATAGTGTGATGGCAGGCAGAGGCCGGCTGTGAGGGTTCAAGCCCCGGCTCAGCCACTTATCAGCTGAGTATCTCTGGGCAAGTCCCCTCCGCAGTGCACTGGGCTAGGCACTAGCATCTCTGTCTGCAACAGGTTTCTGGTGAAGCCTAAATAAATTAATGCATAAGCAGTGCTAAGAGCAGAGCCTGACACATCATAAGTGCTTGAGAGCTGTTAACTCTTATTATAGTGGCTGTTAGGATTATTCGATGAGAAACCTGGGGCACAGGAAGGAGGACCGTCTGCTTTGAGGTCATGCGGTGAGTTAGAATTCAGGTCTTCCCATTGTGGCAAGCTCACGGAGCTGCGGAGTGTGGCAATGGCAGAGGTGGGGTAGGGTGGCCTTCTTCTCCTGCTCTGGGCTGGGTCCCTGCCCTTCCTCGCCCTGCCTGTGCCGCAGAGGTAGCTAGAGAACCCACAGCACCATTGTTTTCTTGAAAGAATGGGCTTGGCCCAGAGGGGAACCATACAGCTGGCCTTGGAGAACTTGTTAGCCTTGTCTCCTGGCTCCAGACCCTTGTGTTTTTGGTGTGCTCAGTGTCTAGGCAAGGGCTTGTCAACCGTTTGTCAAAGGAGGAGACACCCAGGAGCCAGAGGGTTTGAGGGAGTGTCATATTTCTCTCCATCTCCGTAGACATCCCGGTCCAGGCTGCTGTCTCCTCTCACCTGGACCACTGCAATGGCCTCCCGCTGGTATCCAGGGCCCATCCTGCCATCATGCTATGTCTCCCATCCTCTGTTTTGGCCTCTCAGTTTCTTGAACCTGCCATGGGCTCTTGGCCACAGGGCCTTTGTACCTGCTGCCCCTTCTGTCTGGGATGTGCTTCCCTCCCCTCTTCACCTGGGTTTTGCCTACCTATCTTCCAGATGTCAGCCAAATGCCGCCTCCTCAGGGGAGCCCTCCATTGCTACACTGACCAGATCCAGGACCTTGTTCCAGGCTCTCATCCCCACCACCTCTCGGACATCACGACTTTGTGTGTGTTGGCGTGTGGGTCTGGTGAGAGGCCAGCTCTCCTGCTGGACTCGGTTTCACGAGCTCACAGCTTTGTCTGCTTTTGCTTACTGTGGCCTCCTGGTGCTTGCCGTGGTGCCAGGCACATAGAGGTGCTCAGGAGGTATATTCTGAATGTGTCCATCATGGAGTGGAGCCATATTGCCTCCCCCCTTGCCAGGTGCTAGAGGGAGTGGAAGGTTACCATGAGTACCTGTATGTGGGCCCCTTCCTGCGGGCACCACCAGAGATCAGGTCAGAGCCAGGGGCTGCCAGTGTCCAAGGACAGCGTGGGAGGCAGCCAGGAATCGGCCAAAGATCCCTTGGGGTCCTTCTCACCCCTGGCTTCGGAGATACCCCCTGCAGGCTGAATGCTCAGCAGCCAGCTCTGCCCCAGGGCCATTGAGGCTGTGCTGGGCGGAGGGAGGGGCCAGCCTCCAGCCGCCTGTGGTCTTGGCTGAATTGCTGGCTGCTTGGCCCATCCATTCATCCATTCGTCAGCTGCCTTATCCACACCAGGCCAGGAGTTTCCAAATTCTCTTTGCAAGCAGAAAATATCCCCCAGCAGAATCTTGAAGAAACCTGATGATGAGAAGCAGGTGAAAGCCGACCATTGCTCAGGCTCGCCTGTTTGTAGTTGTCATTAATATTTATTTGCAGAACCTGCAAGATGACGGTGTGGGTGCCAGGCACTGTCCTAAGTCCCGGGGCTCTAGCAGTGAGCGAGGCAGATCTATCCCCTGCCCTCAGGCGGCTGATGTGCCAGCAGGAGGCAGACATTCCTCACTAGATGCGTGAGTGAAAGGTGTGGTGTTGCAGGAAGTAGTGTGTGGAAACAGCCAGTGCAAAGGCCCTGAGGTGGGCTCCTGCCTGCTCCTGCCTGTTCAGGAACAACATGGACGTTGGAATGGCTGGAGTAGGGTGAGTGAGGGGGAGGGTGGTAGGAAGGGAGGCCAGGGGGCTAATGGTGCAGGTCGTGTAGAGGCCTTGGGAGCTATTGAAAGACTGTGGTTTTTACTCTATGAGAAGGGAGCCTCTTTTCTTTCTTTCCTTTTTTTTTTTTTTGAGACTGAGCCTTGCTGTCTCCCAGGTTGGAGTGGAGTGGCGCGATCTCAGCTCACTGCAAACTCCGCCTCCCGGGTTCAAGCAATTCTTCTGCTCCAGCCTCCCGAGTAGCTGGGATTACAGGCACCGGCCACCACACCTGGCTAATTTTTGTATTTTTGGTGGAGACGGAGTTTCACCATGTTGGCAAGGTTGGTCTCAAACTCCTAACCTCAGATGATCCACCTGCCTTGGCCTCCCAAAGTGCTGGGATTACAGGCATGAGCCACCACGCCTGGCCGTGATGGGATCCTCTTTTTTTTTTTTTTTTTTGAGACGGAGTCTCGCTCTGTTCCCCAGGCTGGAGTGCAGTGACCGGATCTCAGCTCACTGCAAGCTCCGCCTCCCGGGTTCATGCCATTCTCCTGCCTCAGCCTCCCGAGTAGCTGGGACTACAGGCACCCACCACCTCGCCCGGCTAGTTTTTTGCATTTTTTAGTAGAGACAGGGTTTCACCGTGTTAGCCAGGATGGTCTCGATCTCCTGACCTCGTGATTCGCCCGTCTCGGCCTCCCAAAGTGCTGGGATTACGGGCCTGAGCCACTGCGCCCGGCCGGGATCCTCTTAAAGATAGGTGCCCTATGGTGTCACTCGGGTTTTAATTGGGTTCCTTTAGCTGCCAGGTGGGAGTGCACTGTACATGTGTGTGGGAACGGCAAGTGTGGGAGGCAGGAGACCAGCAGGAGGCTAAGGGCCCTGTTGTGATAGCCCAGCCAGAGATGCTGGAGCTGTGGACCTGGGCGGTCCTGATGGAGGAGGTAAGTCGTGGTTGGATTTTGGATCTCTTTTCAAGTAGAGCCAACAATATTTGCTGATAAATCAGGTTTGGAATGTGTGAGAAAAGGACTCAAGGACTTTGTCAACACTCTGGCCTGCACAGCTGGAAGGCAGAGTAGCAGTTACCTGGCGGGGAAGGACTTTGAACCTGCTGAGTTTGGGATACCCATTGGATAGCCCAGGGGAGCAGCAGCTGGATGGGAGCCTCGAGCTCAGGGGTGCATGCTCTGCCTCCTCGCCTGCCGTAGTGAGATCTGGTGAACCCCTGAGAGGGCAATCCCAGGCCCCAGGGAGTGAGTGGAGAGGCAGACAGAGGGAAGGGAGTGCTGAGCCCTGGGGGCCACCAGGGTCGGATCAGGGACAAGAGGCAGGACGAGCAAATGAAGCTGAGAGGAAGGAGGGGACCAAGAGTGTCAGGAGTGGGACCACCAAGCGAGGAAGGGACTACCTGGGTCAAATACTGCAGTGGGGCCAAGTGCAATGAGGACTGGCGTTGGGGAGAGGGGACCGAGCAGCCCCAGCCGCAGCTCAGCACCCCCAGCCTGGCCGGTCACCTAGCCTTGCCTGCATCTTCCTTCCGAGCTGGTTTTTGGCCCCCTCCCAGGGGTCAGGCTCCCTTTCCCCAGTGGAAGCCCCCAGAGCCCCAAGAGGGCCTTCTCTTTGCCAGCCTGGGGCTGCCAGCCTGGCCCTGGCCTGGCTGTGATATAAATTATGGGGAAAGATGGTGATGTGACTTTTATCGGCTCATGTGTTCAATAATGGTAATACATCCCATTATATCATATTATATTAATATAGTGCAATATATTACACACAGCGCTGCACATTAACTTGACTCGAGAGCGCACTGGGCAGACACCATGGTTAATTTTCTTGGCCTAGCCACGCCCCGTTGCCAGCACTCAGTGCTCCTGGTGATGTGGTCATCAGGACATGGGGTGCAGTTACGGACACCCCAGGCACTACACTAAGGTTTTCCCAGACCCGCGCCTGCCTGTGTGAGGATTGTCGGCTTTTGGAGAAGGGGCTTTCGGATGTTGTTACTCCCACCTTGTGGAGGCCCCTCTGTCCTTACCCATGAGAGCAGCAGTGGTCACCTAATTAAGCCCCCATTGAACAGATGCAGAAACTGAGGCTCATAGATGTGAAGTGGCGCCCAAGGAATGTGGTGGGGCAAGACCTGGAACCGGGACTCTCAGCTTCCCATCCGGGCTGCTTCCTGGGTGCGGGGATGGTGTAGGCAAAGGGCAGGAGGCTGGGAATGGACACACAGTGTGTGCCAGGTGGGGAGGGAGCAGGGGGTGAGAGTGCTCAGGGGCTGGGGCCAGACAGACAGGGGTTCAAATCTCATTTTGCCACTTGTTGTGTCATCCTGTTTCCATGTATTCTTGGGCCTCCGTTTCCTCATCTGAAAAATGAAGGTAATGAGTAATGTTCGCTTCATGGGATTGTTGTGTGAGGGAGAAGTGAATAATCCACATGAAGTGCTTGGCACAGAGTAGGTGCTCGTTAGCCGACAGCCACCAGTCCTGTTATGATGACAAGAACACTCCAGTAGCCTCGTGCTGCTGCCGCCTCCCGCCCACTGGCAAGGATGCCTGGCCCTGGCCCAGTCCGCTCCGTGTCCCCAGCCCTGGGGAAGCCTGCCCTGCCCCACCCTCAGCCTGACCCCTTTGGGTCCCACAGCCTCCCTGGGCTGCCCCCAGCTCTCCCTGCCCCTTGGACATTAGGGTGTGACCTAGGGTCAGCATTGCCTGTGTCCTGGCCCACAGACAGCACCGTGGCACAGAGGAAGCCCGGCTTGCCATTGGGTGGGCCTGTGTATGAGCCCAGGCACGTTCCTCAGCTTCGGAGGGGCAGCTTCTCATCTGAGGATCGGGCTCCAGCTTCCTACCTTGGGGCCGTGGTGAGGGTTACCAAGCGAGGCTGTGCATGAGCCTCTGCCGCACCTCCTGTGTGTGAGAGAGGTGCATGGCTGGCTCCGAACGTCTGGGCCAATTCCTCCCCTCTCCCCAGGCTTCTGTAACACCCATTCTCCCTTGGGACCCTCGCAGTGCCTGACACATGCCAGTCTCTCACCATGGTGCCTGCGGACAGGTGAGGAGACTGAGGCTCACAAAGGAGGTGACTTGCCCAAGGTCACTCAGTGAGGCAGCTTCTTACCTCTGAAAGTTGGACTTTGAGCCCTCCTTGGAAAAGGGGGCATGGCTGTGACCCTTGGGGCTCCTCGATGGGCCTCTGCCCTGCCCACCTGGGCTCCTCCTGGCCTCCCCCGACGGATCACTGTTGACAAGGTTACCGAGTCAGCATGTAAAACCTGCAAACGTGAGTGTAATTTATTGATCTACATTTCGCCTATGAAATAGGACAAGTGCTGATTTGAGGATCGCGTTTGCTCTCCCTCGTCCGCGCCTCCGCCCGCTCTCTCGGGTGCTCTTATCTGCGGCCCTGCCTCTGAGCCTGCATCGAGCCGCCTCCTTTGTCAGCACCGCCGAGGCTCTCCACTCCATGCCCTCTATTCTTCTCCAGCTTCCATGCCTTATCGGGCCCCTCTTTTTTCCTGGGCTCCTAAGAAAACATGTAATGTTTAAAAGGGTGAGACAAGGGACTGAATAAAGTGCTTTCTGGGGAAATATTTGTTCAAAGGCCTGTTGCCTGCGTCTGTCTGGTTCTCTCCTGGAAAACATAATTCAGAACGGGCCTGGAAATTAATCCAAGTGTCCGCTTGTTCTCCTGATAAGAGGCTGGGCAGAACCCGGGGATGGGGAGACAGAGGTATCATGGGGCAGCTTCCCAGCATTTGCTTCCGGGGGTGTCAGTGGGGGACACGGTGTGACAGGTCCCAGGAGGTGAGGGATGCCAGAGGGAGGGTCCTGCCTGAACCCAGGTGGGAGGAAGGAGACCTCAGAGCACCTTCTGTGTGCCAGGCACTGCCGTGGGTGGCCCGCTTACTGCAGAGTGACGCCACTGGCTTGCCCGGGTGCAGCGTCAGACCATGTGAGAATTGGAGCTGCTGACCAGCTCTGTGACCTTGACAAGGCCCTGAGGCTTTGGGCCTCGGCTTCCTCACCGGCTGAAGGCACTTCAGCACTGAGGTGCTTGTCTCATGGGCTGGCTGTGCAGAGGGAATGAGGTGTCCCCTTTGTTCAATGAACGCCTGTCCTGTGCCAGGTGTCTGAAGACACAGTGGGGGGATAGCATGAAGCCCCAGGCTGTTGTTTTGGAGGGAGATGGATACTAAATGAATTAAGTAAGGAAATATAGTGTGTTAGTAGGCGATCATTGTGCAGAAAATCAAAGCAGAGGAGGTGAAGGTGGGGTGCAGGGGCGGGAGGTGGGATTGGTCAGGGAAGGCCTGCCTGAGAAGAAGACATTTGAGCAAAGTCTTGAAGTGAGGGATGAGAGGGAGTGAGCCGCATGCATGTCTGGGGGAAGAGCATTCAGGCAGCGGAACAGCCAGTGCAAAGGCCCTGAGGCTAAGTGTGCCTGGAGAGTTCGAGGCTCAGTAAGGAGGCTGGCGTGACTGGAGCTGAGTCAGTGAGGCCAAGCTGGGAGAGGTTGGAGATGAGGTCAGAGGTGTTGAGCATGAAAATGCTTTGTTAAAATGCCAAGTGTTGCGGGTAATTCTGACAGACTGCTCTGAGCTGAGCCGTAAAGGGCATTTTATTAGCATCTGGCAGGGGCTCCCAAAGGAAGGCTGGTGTGTGAATTTTGCAGGAAGCGGGGAGGCCTGTTATTGCTCCTGTCCCCTGCACACCTTAAATGCCCCAGTCCTTCCCGCTGGCTGCAAGATGGTGCAAACTCTTCCCAAGCTATTTCCCCATGATGGTGCCAAGAGAAAAAAGAGGACCCTTGGGACTTCAGGGCCATGCTGTGGGGGTGGAGGACAGGTAAGGATCCTAGTGAGGGACCCTGACCTGGCCACTAGGGCACAGGTGGCAGTGGTGGTCCACACGTCCTGGCCATACCCCTGGCCTCCGGGAGAGAAGTCAGGGGCCACGAGATCACTCTCTGGCAGCCTCGTGTGGGGTTGGTGATCCTAATTAAAAGTTCAGATGCAAAAGGCTTGATGATGGAATTTCTAATTAAATCAATTTCATCTCGTCTGGGAGACAGGTTTGCATATAGTAAGCATGAAATTAATAATTATGTATAGAAACTAGCTATTGCTCAAAGCAGAGCCATTTTACACAACTTTCCAGGGCTCCTGCCCGATCTTTTGTGCTGGAGACGAGTGGGCCACTTCAGCCCTTAGTTTGACAGCCAGGAGTGGAGGTGGGGGCTCAGCAAGGAAAGGAAGCAGGGCTGGTCTCCCGGCTACTGCCCTGAGGATCCTGCCCCACAGGATGGGGGCGGCCTTCTCAATAGAGGCTGCAGCGTCACCCTCAGATTCTCAGTGTATGTGTGTAGATGTTGCGTGTGTGTGTGTAAATGCATATGCATGTGTAGGCCCACCATGTACAGAGGAGACAGGTTTTACCTGACAGCAGCATGGAGTCTGCAGCTAGTCCGAGTTCAAATCCTGGCTCACACTAGCTGTGTGAGCTTGGGCAAGTAACTTAACATCTCTGTACCTCAGTTTCAGAAAAATGGGGAGAATAAGAAGGCCCACCTCATAGTGCTATTCTAAGATTGAAGGTGTTAGGGTGCATGAAGCTACTTAGGACAGTTCTTGGCACATAGTAAGCACCCGATAAGTGTTAGCTCTCATGATGATGAGGATTGCATGTATGCGTGTGAATTTAATTCAGTACAATTCTGCCCAAACCAGCCTGTGATGAGTGTGAACTTGACACATCCAGGGCCTTGAGGTGGAGATAAATAAGAGTCATTCCCAGTTCTCCCAGAGCTGGAGCCTAATGTTTACTGCTCCTTGGGTCTGTCAGCATAGGCGAGGTGATGGTGCCATAACAAACAACCCTCAAAGCTCCGTGGCTTAAAATAGCGTCAGCTTAACTCTTGCTGTGTTACATGTCTCTGGGGGTTGGCTAGGCACTCTGCTCAGGGACCCAGGCTGGGCTGGAACATTGCTCAGGTACCCATTGCTTACAGTAGCAGAGGAAATGTGTACCCTGTAGGTCTCAGGACTGCAATTCAGTGCAGTGGGACAGAAGCGATGGGCATGCTCTGCTCTCAGCTCATTGTCCACAACTTTTCAAGTGGCCCCAAGAAGGCAGAGATCTTGAAATGCTGGGCTGATGGCTCTTGCCCAGCACCCAGCATTAGTTCTGTGTGTATTCATTCACTATCGATTGTCTCTCCCACTCGGATGTCAGCTCCAGGAAGGCAGGGATCATGCAGAATACTCAGTGGGTGCTCAGTAAACCTGGTCAAGTGAGTGAATTAATGAATGAGCAGACAGAGCTTTGGAGGAGCATGGGTGGATTCTGGGAGAGTGTATGGGGGGAGGCTGGTGGCCACAGGAGCAGCTGAGGCAAAGGGACCGCATGGGCCTCATGGCCAGTTCTACTGTCTTTGATGATAATGCCTGCAGCCTAGGACACTCTGACGTGCACTCTCCATCACAGAGGGGAAACTGCAGGTCGTGGTGTGATAGGAAGGGGGCTGTATCGTGGGGGGCATAGGTTACAGGGGCAGAGGAGGGCCAGAGCAACCCTGGAACTGGGCAGAGGGGAGGTCCATCTCCAGGCTGGGGGGAGGAGCAGAGCAAGGGAGGCCAAGGGCCCTGGGGTGGCAACTGCAGCTTCTTCAGCTAACAGGAAGAAGGCCGAGTCCGGGCTGGTCCAGGGTGGGCCCTCGCAGGCTGATCTGTGACCTGTGCACTGGGGCACAGGTCGGCTGGCCAGGGCCAGACAGGGGCACATGGTCAGGCCCCAGAGTGACTGGATGCTCAGGGCAGGAGTTGGCAGCTGGTCTGCGTCCACAGAGCAGAGGAATCGATCTGATTAATGAGGGCGTCAAGGCCTGAGGTGAGCGCCCAGGCAGGCCTGATTCGAATTCCTGGAGGGTCTGTGGGGAAGGGGCTGGTGCTCCCGGATGGCTCTGATGGGTGTCAGGGAAGGCGGCATTGAAGGCGAAGGGCCCCATTGTGTGTCCCTGGAGGAGCTGCTGGGGTAAGGACAGACAGTCTCCCGATCTGGGGTCTATCCTGCTACTCCCAAAGACCACCCAGTTGTGCCCACTCAGTCCCCTGCCCAGGTGCCCCCCGCCATTTCCCCTAGGCCTTGTTCTTTGGTCACTGGGGTCAGGACAGCTCCGTGGAGGGCATGGGTGTGTGAGGCCTCCGTGGGGCTGTCCCAAGATGTCTGAGTTACTCTAACCTTCTGCTCCTGAACCCAGTGGTGTGCATCAGCGATGGGCCCGGTCAGGGCTGAAGGCTGGGGACTGCTGGCGTCCTCTCTGTGTGCTGGCCCCACCCTACTCCCTCTGCTGCCTCCCTGCACCCCCTGCTGGTCCCCACTCTCTCTGTGACCACATATAATTGATCCCCAATGCTGTGAGTCTCCCGCTAAGTGCCTGCCACCCACCTCCCCTCCACCCCGAAGCCCCTGTCCCAGATCAGGTGGCGTCAGCTACTGTCTGCAGTGCACTCGCCGCCTCCTCCTAGACTGCCAGGCCTGCCTCTCCAGACTCTTCCCCTGCAGGCTGAGGGCCATTCTGACCACCTGTACCCCTGCCCAGGCTCCCTCCACAGCTGCCCTGGCTCCCAGGAAAGTCCTGCCCTCCTTAGCAGGGCCTGGGAAGCCCCTGTGGCTGGGCCTCTGTGCACAGCCAGCCTGGCCCCCAGGCCCTGCCATTGTTCCCCTCACCCTGTGGCTCTTCCCTTGCCCATGGGAGATTGGGGGGAATCTTTGTTCTCCCAGCCACAAGTCTGACTCCCCAACTAGGCTGATTCTCTGAGTGTTATTTAAATTTGTGTCCCCAGCACCTGGCCAGAGGGGTGCTCAGGTGCTCTGTGAAGGGGAGCCCTACTGAGTGTGCAGGTGAGACCCGCTCCCAGCCCACAGAGGGAGGGAGGAAGGAAAGGGCAGTTGGCAACCCCTCCTCTTGAACCTCTGGCCGCCCCGCCCTAATCTCTGCAGCTAAGGCCCTGTGGGGGAGGCTGCACCACTCAGGCCCCTGAGGAGTCAGGGTGGGGGATGTTGCAGGCAAGGCCCCGGGAAGCCGGCACTCTCCTCCTCTTTCTCTGAACCACACGTTCCTGTCCACCACAGCTTTCATGTACCTAAAAGCATCACTAGCTTTTATCTGTGAAGCAAACAGCTGATGCTGAGAGCCCGGTGGTGGAGGGCCTAAAGCAGCCAGGATCAGAAGGGCAAGGAGCATGCAGCCAAGCCTGGGGCTTGTGCCGGCCCGCGCAGGCTCCCCTGCTCCCTGGGCGATAGGGGCTGCGCCGGCCAGGTGGGGATCTTAAGGTCTGCCTGGGTCCTGGCTGGGCCAAGGCTGGTGGCCAGAGGTGGCTGCAAGATCCCAGACTCAATCTGTGGTGGCATGGCCTGGCCTGTGGGTGGAACAGAAAGAGCAGAGTCAGCAGGGAGGGTGGGGCAGAGCTGGAGGCCTGCAGGGCATGCCCAGGAGGGTGGGAACAGGGGCCCAAGCAGCTCAGTCAGCACCTTGTTTCTGACATCTCCTGATGGGGATACTCAGAGGACACTATCATCTCTCCAGGCCTCAGCTTCCTCATCTACAAAATGGGCACAATGATCCTAGCCCTGCCTTTCTCTCTAATAAGAATATCTAGCATTTGCCCAGGGCCCCCATGCGCCCGGCCTGTTCTAAGCACTTTTTGTGTATTTGCTGATGCAGTCATTTCTGTTGTGATTGTGATGACTTTATGGGGAGGAAACTGAGAGGGTTCACTGGATTGCCTAAGGTTGCAGAGTTGGATAGCGAAGCTGGGTCACAGCCCCGGGCAGGGTGGCTCTAATGGGTGCTGGACACTTACATGCTGTGCCAAGCATTAGGGCAGAGGAGGAAAGGCAAGGTGCTTTTAACAGAAAAGGTCACAGGCAGAGGAGTGTGGGTTTTGTCAGGTAGCCCCTGGGGTGTCTGTGGTGATGGCCCTGGACGTCTGGTCACTTGACTTGGGGCATACGAGGCCTTGTGGGGGTTGTGGTGGGGATTTCAACCCTAACTGAGCCGAACAGTCTTGAACAAAGCTCCAGCCTTCAGAGACTCTCAGTACTGTGCTCCGGGTGGGCACTGAGACGCTGGACACGTTCCCTGCCCTCCAGCATCCTCGCTCCACCTTTGGATGGCGTGGGATGTGGACCAGCTGCCCTCAGTGGATTTTCAGATGCTGCGGTTCTGGGAACCAGTTACCCAGAGCTGGAGCTGTGGCCTTCTGGGTCACCGCCTGTGTGCTAGCCGGTATCAGCATGCCTGGGCTGGTTGTGTGAGGCTGCTGGCTGGGCCTGGGGCAGCCCGAGGGCAGATCCAGGCACTAAACACATGTGTGTGCCTGGATACACACATGCACACATGCTCACACACACAGGCATACACACATGCTCACACACACACAGGCATGCACACATGCTCACACACACAGGCAACACACACACACACACATGCTCACACACACAGGCATGCACCATGATCACACACACACACACACACACACACACAGGCATGCACACATGCTCACACACACAGGCATGCACCATGATCTCACACACACACACACACAGGCATGCACACATGGCCTTTGCACTGGCTGCTCCCTTGGCCTGAAACACCTTGGCCTCAAATACCCGTCCCTGCTGGGGTCCTGACAAAGACATCGCCCTGTAAGAGAGGTCTCTCCTGGCCACTCTGCAACACTCCCCTGTTCCGTTCCTTTCTTTTTTTTCCTCGCTCCTTATCCCCATCTAACAGACTCAGAAGCTTATGATGCACCTCTGCATGACCTGCCTCCGTCTAGATTGGA